GTGGAATTTTTGCCTGGGCACAGTTGGTGCTGTCGGCTTCAACCCGGGCCCAGCCCTTGCATGGCTCGGCTCTACCCTGCGCCACCCATCTCCGCATGGCTACCAGGGTTACCCCCAGCATTTCCCCAAAGCCCTGCTGATCCCAGGTCTCCTTGTTTTGGGACCCATTGGTCCCAGGAACCTTTCCAAATCCCACTTCCAACTCCACTCTGCTCCTGAGGGCTCCCAGCCCACGTTGCATTCTCCTCCCCACGCTGCATCTTGATCTCGCATCCATCCATGGGGTTCCTTTCCAACAAGCCACCTGTATTCTTTCCCCTTTGAAAGCCTTGGAAGGCTGCAAAATAAAAGCAAGTTTGGGAGAGAAGCAGCAAATCACAAAGATCCCCAAGAGAGAAGGGAACAGTTCTCTCCTGGCCAGCTCCAGGCACATTGCCTATGTCAAATGCTTCATAAACGTCAGTTGGAGATGTGTGCTGGAGACCTGCTTAAATGCTTACAGATGAAGTGGTCCAACTATTACTGTTTAAACAGTGCCATGACAGGTATAAGCAATCTGCCCTTCACATTTACTGCTGCAAACCCTTTGAAGGCCTAAGGACAAGTATTTGGAGGAAAAGCCAAGCCCAGGTTGCTCTGGGGATGCGATTTGAGAGGGGGAATGGACAGAGCATGGCTTGGGCAGAGCAAAGAGGAGGCGAAGTCCGGGGAGGGGAGCAGCAGAATAAGCAGAGCAGTGTCAGGGCAGTGCTAAAAGCACCTCTGCTTTCCTGCACAGCCGATGAGCAGAGCTCACCTCCCTGTGCCTGGCTGCAGGGGATGAATCCCACCGGCCGCAGGTGAGGATAACGCTGTGATACACAGTGGGATCCCTCCCAGGCTGCAGCAGGCTCCAACCCATCCATCCATCCACTGTGCTGTCCATCGCCATGAGCCCTTCCTGCAGGAATCCTGGCAGGGGTCAGGCTCCAGCTCCCAGGCCTGGAAAGCCACAGAGTCACTTTGCATCCCCAGGGATGCTCAAGCAAGCCCACTTCCTATCAGCAGCACTTCCAGGCTGGCACATAGCTTGTCTCCCCAATTTCTTTCTGGGAACTGAGGGGATAAAGGGAACTTCAACCCTCCATGAGGACATGGATGGACCTGGGTGCAGTGCTGGAAGCCCATGGATGTGGATACAAGTGCCACCGCTCTGGTTTGCATCCCAGCTCCATGTTGCCCCAGGCCAGGCACTTGCACTTTTGCAGGGGGATTAACATCAGGCAGCAGCTCTGTTGGATCAGATGCTGAGCTGGAAAGTACCGGGACAAAAGGCTCTGGTCCCTTCTTCCATCCCTGCAGGGATGAGGACAGACAGGAGCAAACTGCATCCATGAGGCTTCCCAGCATCACACACAGACCGAGAGCGAAGCCCCAGGTTTCATCCCTGCTTCCCTCTGCTGCTGCTGGACCAGCAAGGCTGAGAGCTCCATGTAGCTGCCAGTCCCTCTCTCCATGCCTCAGTTCCCCCACATCCCTTCACCTGCATCCCACACCCCTTGCCACCATAGGAATATCTACTATGTGGGACCCCCCTCACTTACCCACCTGCGCAGCAGTTGGGGTTCACCCCAGAGCAGCATCAGGCCTCCATCACCCTAAAAAGAAGCAGCACCCAGTAGGGAACCAAACCCACTCACTGCCTTAAGGAAAGAGATCAGCAGACAAGGTGGGGAGCCCCAGGCAGAGTTCACCCTCCCTCCAAACCCTCCTGCTTTATCCCCCAGCCCTGCCCCAGCTGCAGCCTCTCATTTATTAATGCAGCGTGGACTAATCCCCAGAAGCTGGGAGCTGCTGGGTGGGGGTGATCGTGGGGTGACTCATGGGTGCAAGTGCTGCAGGAAGGAAAACACTCCCCAAACTCCTCTCTGAGCTCAGGGTGGGATTTGGGGCAAGGGGAATAGAAGGAAACCTCCAAACCCCATCATCAGCCCTTGCTGAGATGGGGACAGGGGTCTCCTGGACCTGGGTTTGTGCTGGATCCTGCAGGCGCTGGGCAGGCACAGACAGTCCCTCTCCTGGCAGAGCATCCTGCCTGCCAAGCGTGAGGCAGGGAGGAATGTGGGCATCCACACCTGCACCCCAGGCCCACCTTGA